TGGCGCCGTCACCGTCTTGAGGATTTCGACGACAGTGCTCGTCGAATTCGCGTCATTTCGCTGACTCCACGCGGGTCTAGCGGGCTTCCCAGCTCACGATCATGATCTCGGAGCCAGACACCTCCGCGCGGGACGTCTCGTGCGGCGTGCAGAGCTTAGCAGAGCTTACGCGGTGCACCGGGCTCGCGTCGTCGAGGTGACCGGTCGCCGGCGACTCCGAGACGCTGTCCTATCGCGACTTTTGTGATTAAAATATACAAAAAGGGAGACTGCATTTTAATACAGTGAAATACATTGCTAGAGAAACATGCAGTTGATAAACAATAGATGAAATAATATCATGTAAAATGCAGATTTAGTTAAATCTTATTACCCGCACCCCAATACAGAATCCAATACAAAACAAGAGCCGCAGAGCGTCTGGGCTCATCTGAGGTATGTTGCTACGATTATAAACGTAAAATTTCAGTCGTGCGTAGTACCACATTTGTTAGGCGCAGATATGCAGACACGCAGTTGCGTACACATCATTGTTAGGACACGCCCACCTACGCAGATCTCTTGTGGTATACCGTCTGACAGTCTGCGACCTGCAAGCTCCACTGGCGGGGATCTAGCTGATGCATACACTGCTGCTGCTCGATTGCACGGTGACCTGCACTGTGCTCATGTGGAGTTTGAGCATGACTACAATCAGAAGGCTGAAAATATCGGTAAATTTTATTTCAAGCTCCACATTCTGCATATCTATTTTTGTTAATTTGACAGTGTTGTAGAGTTGTTGACAGTGAGTACAGTTTTAGTTGTTGACAGTGAGTACAGTTTTAGTTGTAGAGCTGCATAGTCCAGTGTTTAGGATGCATTTATTTCTGTCATGTTTAATATTATAGTATAAATGTAGATTTTATTTTGAAATATGGTTATTGCAGCAAGTAGGGATATAGATACATAAATATAGTGTGCCACGAAACATTGTACAAGATAAATTGAAAAAGCATGACGCAAAATCACATCATACCTCCTACAATTGTAACAGGGTCAGCTATTAACCTATGTACATTTATCAGTGTATAATTGTTACTGCAGATTCAGGATCAGGACATGAGGATCAAAATCCTGATATATTGTGTACATTACAACGCTTGTTCACAGATGTACAAAAGAAATCGTTGCGTCTCCTGGAGAAGTGTTCTCTCTACATATCGTTAGAGAGACAGTGTTTGGTTGCTCTAGCCAGCTCGAA